ATCAATTAAAATTTTATGAAATGTAATTTCTCTATACAGCCAGCTTTGGGATTTCTTCCATTCTGTGACCTTTTCCTGGAGGATTCCATTAGAAAAAACCACTGTATTTTACATCTTGGGCTCAATGAAGCCTCCCAAATGTATTTTCCAAGTACTCTGGGCTAACCACTACCCTATTCACTAAGAAGATTTTCCCCACATTGGTTATCCATAGTATGGTTTGCACTGCATGTTAAAGCCAGGGGGTTAGTATCCCAAATGTCAACTGTCCTTGAAAGCCAAAATATCCTTTGTGGGATATTCCCTTACCCTTTAATTTCTTTCAGTTACATAATCCCAGGTTAGGCATGATATTTTCATTTCAACAGTATTTCATTGCTATCCTGTCACAGCCAATGGTGTTAAAAGAGGTTCACCTCCTTGTTCTTCTAATACATTTTTCTGTATATCGGGGGTGGGCACTTATTTCAGCTGGAGGGCTGCTTAATGAGTTTCAGTGAGCTGTGGAGTGCTGCAAGACTAGCCCCACTTGTTGACAGGTGCCCCGCTTCCTGGTCAACTGCTGGTCACAGGTACCCTGCTTTCTTGGGACCGGAAGTCCTGTCCCTAACCCCTGACCATTGCCACCAGATGTCCTTCCCCTTGCCCCCAGAAGTACTACTTTTGGGAGAGGAGGGGGCTTGCCACCTGAACCAGAAAAAAATAATTATATACTAAACGTCAAACATCTACTATAACATATTTTAATTTTATTACAAAAATATTTTCATCATGATTTGTGTTTGCATATTGTTACAATATTGCCTATTGTATATTTGTGTTTGCATATTGCAATATAGGTAAAAATAGTCTTACTCTTGTATTTTGTGTGGGGGGGAGTGTGTGGCTGGGGGTGGGGGGTGTGTATGGTGGTGTGCGGGGGTGCGTGAGTATGTGGTCAGGGATTGTGGCTGTATGTGTAGGGGTACAGGATATGTTCTGGGGTGTGTGTATATGTAGGACAGTTGTGGGGGAAGTGTATGGGTGTGTGGGGTTAGTGGGGTGTGAGGGAGGGTGGGATACACTTTCCCCCATGGTGCACAGTCCTCACTAGTAATGGCAGTGGCAGCAACAGGCAGCAGGTACTTGGCGCGCTTGTGGCCTGTGCAGGCATTGCCACCTGGCAGCATGCAGCTCTGGCCAGCACTGCACATGATGACAAGGAGTGCACCCAGGCCAGCCCGCTTCTATCACATGGGGCCCCCCACTTGTGTGCCACTGGGAGAAGCCCCGCACTCTGGAGCCACCTGCAACCATGGAAGCAAGGGGCAGGGCTCTCTTCCACTTCCAGCAGAGTCTGGGCAGCTCCAGGTGGTGGGGAAGGCAGCTGGCACTATCACGCGGGGCTTCCTCCAGTGGTGCATGAGTGCTGGGAGCTGCATGTGTGCTGCTGCCACTGCTGGCAGGGGCTGTGCACCATGGGGTATGTGTGGGGTGGTCCCCACACCTGCCCACCCTCCCTTACACCTACACCTGCCCACCTGAGCTCCACACTTCTACCACCCCCCTGCATGGCCAGGATACGCATGGTGCAGCATGGATCCAGCCCTACCCATCCTGTCTTGGCTGCAGCATGCAGTTTCTGGCTGCAAGGTCAGGACTTGCATGGCACAGCATGGAACCAGCCTGGCCCGTCCCAGCAGCACACAGTTCCTGCTCCATAGCTGAGACCCACATGGTGTGGCACAGAGCCAGCCTGGACCAGGCTGGTGGTGCGCTAGAGTGCCAGGAGCCATGGGAAGTCCTGTGCCATTGGGATGGGCAGCTGTGTACCTCCAAGTGGTGTTCATGGCACTGTAGCTGGGAGCAGCATACAGAGGCATGGAGCCAGAGTCCTGCGGGCCTCATGGAGTGGGGCTATCACTGGCTGTTCCCCTCCCTGTGCAGGTCCATTCTTACCTGAATTTCCACTCACAGATGGAGGGAGGGCTGGGGAACAGCCACAGGGTAGAAGTCTCTGCTAGGCAGAAACTTCTGGTCTCCAGAAGCTTCTTGGGGCTGGAGA